GCCACAGATAGAGCCCAGGGCCACAGGTGCCCCCCACGGGTCTAGATGGCGGGTGGTCCTGCCCTGAGTGCAGGGACTAGGTCGGGTCACCTCTGGGGGTTGCTCCCAGTTCTAAGCTACCACCGGCCCATGCTGGGATGGGCTCTTCCAGCCAGGCTAGGGCTGCGATGGGGTGGGCCATGGGACCTGCCAGGTCTCTCCTAGCTCTAACTCCCATGGCTGGGCAAGGGCTCCTGGATGTGCGGGCTATGAGCTGGGGCGGCTCCCCCTTGGGGAGTGTTTCCAGCCCTCCCCTCCCCCAGCCACTGTCCCCTGCTGCAGAAAGCTGGAAGCAAGGGCAGGACTGCAAGAGGGGCGGACAGGGTCCTGCATGGAGGGGGTCTGTGTGTTGGTAGGAGGGACCAGGGATTTCCCTGCACCCCCCAATGGGGGCGTACACCCCCCTGAATTTCCCCAACGCCCCCCAGTTTTGTGAACTATGGTGCCATACAGCCCACCTTCACCCTCACGGGCTCGCCCCTCGTCGGCCCTGGCACCCCTCTTGTAAATTCGAACATCCCTTCGAATTTCAATTCCCGCGGAGGCTACTGGGAGGGACAGGGACCCGAGGGCCGGAGAGCAATGGGGAGCAGGGACTGAGCCCCACAGAGGGGTTGTATCATTCGCTCTCATCTCGGAGAATGGCAGAGGGAGGGAGGGGTGGGGAGAGCTGTTACTATGGCGATACACATGGGCTGGATGGAGGCCAGCACAGAGCGCCAGCCAGGCCACGCCCTCAGCAGTGCTGATGCTGCACGTGGCTCGAATCCTAATGGGTCCCTCCAGGACAGAGCCAAGGTGGGTGGGGACAACCTTTAATTTGTGCCAAGGCTGAGCCCCGGGCACCTCCGGGCCTGGTAGCCCCTTAGCCCTGGGCACAGCCAGGCCCGGCAGCCCCTAGCCCCAGGTACCTCTGGGTCCAGCAGCCCCTAATCCCGGGTACCTCCAGGCCTGGCAGCCCCCAGCTCTGGGTACCTCCAGGCCCGGCAGCCCCTAGGCCTGCTGCATGTGTTCTGAAGGTAACGCAAGGGCGTGTTTCCCTGAACCTCTTTCGCTCCACCATAAGCACTGGTTGAGGGTGCTCATCACGGGGCGTTTCCTGACCAGCACAGGGCTGGGTTCTTTGAAGTGTCACATTACGCAGGAGTCCCCTTTGTGGTAATGAACAGCCTCCCTGAGTGTGCAACCCTCAGTCACACGGCCACCTCTGTGACGGCACATCGGGTACCCCCCGATGATCCTGCAGCAAGAGGAGACTCCGCCAGCCAGTAGAACAGAGAGGGATTATTGCTCCTCCAGGGTACAGTGCAGCACAGACGGGATGTGGTTTCAGGAGTCAGGCCCAGGCAGTCTCAGACCCCTTGGATTAGGGGGTCCATTGTCATCACTAGACCCTCAGCTAAGGCTGCTTCCTTCATGTTCCCAGCCAGCCACTGCCCCTTCCCCTTCCCCTGAAACCTCCTTTCCTTGGTTCCTGCCTGCCCTCAACCCGTCGGACAGGTTGGGTCTTTTTGCCTATGTGACTTAAGGCAGCCATCATGCTGGGCAGTGCTACAGGTACCAGCCAGTAGGGGTCACCCCAGCCCGCACACAGTGGTTGCCCAGAGGGTATGGCCAGCCGACTGCATCACATCCTCCTCTTCAGCCCAGTGTAGGGTTTTCTCTAGGAATTATTACCGCCAGTGCGGTTGCACCCAGAGCCGCACGGGGCTAGGGACGGCACAGACATGTGACAAAGGTGGTCCTGCCCCAGAAAGCTCCCACTTCAGAGAAGGGCAAGGAGGAGGAGGAGAAGAGAGCAGCAGATAGTAACACAATAGTTGTAACCCTGTACTCTTTCTCCTTGTATCACTTACACAGTTCTCCATGCCCCCTTTTGCAATCCGTCCCATTTTTGGACACAGCACTTTTGGAGCTGGCAGCCATTTTGAAAAAAGAGAGCATCGAAATTCCTAGTTAATCTAGCCCTGTTGGAAGCACTAGATTTCAGACGTTACCAGAGCTTTCCACGCCTTTTCCTCATCTGAAGAAAATATATTGTCCACCTTGAGTGTAATTCTAAATAAAGTCTCGTACATGGGTACAAAAGGTCTCTGCGACAGAAGTATAAAGCGGTGTTAATGTGCATTCTCGGAGAAAATTTTAACAGCTCCAATTCAAAATCAAGTTAGATAACAACTGTAATTTGTTTTAGGGATTATAGGATAAAGTCTTCATATATAAAATGCATTTCTTATTTTGAAATATGTTATACGTTCAGTACATTTCTAAACAGCCATTAAATAATTGGACTAACCATTGATGATAGAGAAATAAAGGAGATGTGTTAATACTTACAGAATTATGCATTTTTAGAGGACAATATTTTAGGCCATTAGTGCATTTCTAAATAAAGTCATTAAATAATTTGTAAAAAAGAGCAGATTAAAAGTGTGAGGACATATGTATGTTGTTATGCATTTTCCTCAGAGTCAGAGAAAAATAATTGTAATGCAGATAGAAATATATAATCTAAAATCATTAAATAATTAATGACAGGAATAAAGGTGAAGGACTAATATACACGTCTATGTAACATGCATAGGATTTTTTTTAACACAGCTCTTACAATTCTAAAGAAAGTTGATCAAATCATTGCAAAAGGTTGCATAGTATTAGTGACACAGAAAGAAACATACAGAGTCAGTTAGTTACATTGCAAAGAGCACAATTGTTCCAACACCATCTTTCGGACGTTGTCAAGGAAAAAAGGCAGGAGAAGAGAGAAGTATTTCACTCCACAGCCTGGTATTTGCCAAATGGCAGATGCTCAGGGAGTTTGAGACAAACTGTGCCTCCCTGGCATAGCCAATCAGGAGGTATTCTTGTAAAATCACACACCATAGCCTATTAAATTACTTCACATTCTCCTGAGTCACTCCGCAGGTGTTTTCTAAATCCACAGCCCATAGAAATATTCACTCTATCATACTAAAATGTAAATTAGAGCTGAAATGCCAGTCACAAGGGGCGTGCATGCATGGAGATTTCTTTATTGAACTTTTTACAAAAGCGATGTAAATTTAGCGATTAGCCTGATTTGTTTTTAATTCTGGGCCAGACATAAAAATTGACTTTTAATATAACATCTTTCGCATTTGTCCTTGAAAACTAGTCGAGAGATCCTAATAGGATATATGCCTAATTTTTGTTATCACTTCCCTTATTCCATGTACTTAACGTAATGGATTTCTTCATAACCCCTGATATTTATTGTAAATGAGCACTATCGGCTTTCGTCGTAAGGTGGCCTGTTAATTTTAGCAGCGCTTTAAACAAATAGCCATCAAGCAAGAAAGCATCCCCAGCCGAACAACCTGAAACCACATCTGTTAGAAATGATATACAAATGATCTGAAGGATGTTTTAGATTCCAGGGGACAGTATAAAATCCCTTGTCATTTACAGAAGGGCTGTGTCGACATTGGCAAGATTTTGCGCAAAAGCGGCCGCTTTTGTGCAAAAACTTGCTGCCTGTCTACACTGGCCGCGAGTTCTTGCGCAAGAACACTGACGTTCTAATATAAGAAATCAATGCTTCTTGCACAAGAACTATGATGCTCCCGCTCAGGAATAAGCCCTTTTGCGCAACTGTTCTTGCGCAAGAGGCCAGTGTAGACAGGCAACATGAATTTCTTGTGCAAGAAAGCCCGATGGCTAAAATGGCCATCGGAGCTTTCTTGCGCACGAGAGCGTCTACACTGGCACGGATGCTTTTGCACAAAAGCACATCTCTTGCACAAAAGCACATGCCAGTGTAGACGCTCTCTTGCACAAATACTCTAACGCAAGAACTCTTGCGTTAAAGAGTATTTGCACAAAATCTTGCCAATGTAGACGTAGCCAAGGACTTTACAATCCTCTCCCCCCCTCCAATTTTACACCAGAAGGCTTTTGAATGATTTAAAGGACAGTGATAGAAACATTGGCATATGCCACCCTCCTCCCCAGTCCCCTTATTTTTTCTGCGGTTTAGTGGTTATCTGAACAAACATGATCCAATCTCCCAAAGGAGCATGCAGATTTATCAAACGTTTTGCAAACCCTACGTACATTTAGTCGTTAAGATTAGATCTGTTAATTTCTGACCAGGAACAAAAAAGCCCTCTTCCTACATAATTCCTTTCACATGTGTCTTTCAAAACTGACTCTAACTGAAGGACACGTCTAACCTTTATAGCAATTCCCCTTCTTCGCTTGGCTCAAAGGAACGTGCAGGCAGTCCCAACTTCTACAAACGGGGTTGTGTTCCAAAACTTCGTGTGTAAGTAAGTGGGTTGCATGGGACTTGGAATGCATTTTCCTATAGACACAATGTCCTAAAAGGTAGGTAGGTTCCCAGGCTAGCCCACAAAAGCCTGTTTGACCCTCAGCGTAGCTGAAATACTGTTTATTTGTCATGAAAATTAGGAGAAAGAGGGTATTTTTATGTAACTGTAAATGCGGGTGCTTGAGGAAAGGCAGGTTTAATTAGCGGAGGATGAGGAAGTTGGTGGAGATGTGGAAGGGGGTTTCTGGGCATTCTCTGGCTGCCCTCTCCCCCCCCCCCCCGGGCCCTGGGTTAACCCCTGTGCGCACCCCCCACC